TTTCATTCACGAGGCAAGTCTAGAAAAACAGCTCGGAATATACAAGATCACAAGGAATACTGTACACAGGAGCCTTTCCTGAGGAATGTTCTAGAAGATGAGTTTCATCAAAACGAGAGAACACTGGGGAAAAGTCAGTAAACTGACAGCAAACATTTAATATATTTAATCTGAGATGACTCCAAAACAAGGTAACAGCATGGGCAGAGGATTAGTGTGTAAATGTTCCATGCTCAACCAAAGCCCAAGAATACGACAAGAAGAAATAAGAGCCTGTAATTCCAGCACTCTGGGAGGCCACGGCAGGTGGACTGCCTGAGCTCAGGAGTTCAGGGGCAGCCTGAGCAAGAGTGAGAGACCTCATCTCTAAAAACATAGCCGGGTGTTGTGGCGGGCGCCTATAGTCTCCAGCTACTTGGGAGGCTGAGGCAGGAAGATCACTTGAGCCCAAAAGTTTGAGGTTTCTGTGAGCTATGACAGCATAGCACTCTACTGAGGGTGACATAGTGACACACTATCTCAAAAAAAAAAACCAAAAAAAAAAAAAACAGAAATGAGAGAAAATGAAAGAAAGGTTAAATACAATAGGAATAGGAGCACTGGCTATAATAAAAGTATAGATGGTAGCCAAGGGATGCCATTTAAAAAGATAAGTAGGAATAGGGTAATTAAAAGCACTACAAAAGATGTAAATACAAAGGTAACCACTAGAAGAAAAATATAAACCTCCCTACATTTCATAATAAATGATGATGATAATAATAATAGCAATGATGATGATGAGAGCTCTGAAGGGACAATTCTCCATAGTGGCTCTACACATCTGACATCAGCTTTTGTTCTGGACTATCTTTTAAAAGATGTTTGTATAATAAACAATCTAGTGTCTCTCCTTGGACCAGAAGGTAGTTTTGTTACCTGACTAGGATTATAATAAAATTTGGGTATATAGGTTTTCTAGCAGTCCTAAAAGAACTTCTAAATTTGGAGTTCCTTGGCTATGACACAAACCCACTAAATACGCAGTGCCTCTACCTGAGACTTGAAGGTCCAGAGGAATCTATAGAAATGTGAAGCATGTGCTACTGTTGTGCTGTTAGTAAACAAAGCACATGGTCTCTGACCCAGGAATCTCGTATCTTCTGACAGCATCTATGAAAATGTGGCAGGCATGCACGAAGGCTAAAATTTCAGACCCTTAATAAAGAAGGCACAGCCAGAAAGGGAAAGAAACACAATTAATATAACGACATGCACACTAATTATAGAGCAATTTCCAGGATATATTGTTAAACTGCCCCCTCCAAAAAGCTAAGTACAAATAGTTATATATAATTTGCCACTTTTTCTAAGGAGGAAGAGAAAATAAAAATACACATAGGTACATGTGTCACACAACACACTTAATTTTACCCAAAATAGAACAGGGAGGATAAAGCAGTAAGCAAAATTCACTACCTGTAAGGGGTAGAGGAGAATAGCCTAGAATGGTCACCTCTCTAAGAATGCCACTGTGTACAATTTTGACTTCTGGAAGTATGTCAACATCATATATGTTCAGACATGTAACTAAATCAACAAGAATGTGAACAAAGGCACCTAACCAGAAACAAATGGAAGCAACCATATTTCAAATGAATGATATAACTGTACTCAAGAGGAACTATACTCAAAGAACTGTTATTAAACATTGAACTGTTTTAGTAGGTTATTTTTCACTAAGTTTGCTTGTAGCAATTCTGAAACTTGTTTATGTGTATTATATGGTTGAACAAATAAGTAAATATATTGGTGCTGTTAGGAGTCACAGTTCTCATTGTCAAAAGAACCCAGATCACCACAAAATAATTCTTTCTGTACAAATATGGGAGAAACCGAGCATCAAAATAAGTAAGGAAAGTAACTGACAATAATCTCTATAATAAAATAAAGAACCATGAGACCTTACTTGACAGATAGATAAAATAAGAAAGGTGTGATCTTCCGCACTAGAATACTGGCTGTAATGGAGGGAGCAAGAGAATTAAAAACCTCCACTTTGCAACCATCAGGCAACAATCATCAATGAATAACGGACCAACAGCCTTCAGTGCTCTAGAATTTCAAACTGACTTAGACAGACTGTCAGTTCTAGACAGACTGACCTCTGTCTAGAACTTCACACAGACTTAGGCCTTATAGGTAAAAGAGAAATACAGTGGTATTGGGGAATATATTACAGGCAGTCCCCAGGATATGAGCAAGGTAAAGTCTGTAGGTTTGTTCTTAAGTTGAATTTGTATGTAACTTGGAACAGGTACATTCACCTATTACCCATAATAGCTTCCATTTGTAAGTGCGAGTTATATGTTAATCAGATGTTTGTAACTCATAGACTTACTATAATAGCCTCCATTCCTAAGTGTGAGTTGTATATAAGTTGGATGTTTGTAACTTAGGGCACTGCCTGTATAAGCAATTTTAAGCTGAAAAGAATGACATGCTTCTAGATAGTCCTTAGGAAAATTTAGCAACAAGAGAAAATAATGAAATACAAAAAGCTGAATCAAATATCTAAGAGATTATAAAGGATTTAAGGAAATCAGGCCTTAGAAAGGTTCCAAGGGGAACAGTCCACCTACCACATTCTTTACTCCATAGACTCACCTCTGCTTTCTCCTTCCTGTGGTTACATATAACCATACACCAAGAAGAGCCTATAAATATACAGTATCAAGACAGTGCAACTGTGTTTCCTGGGGTTAAGTAGAGCAAGCTGAATGTGTTAGTTTTCCTACTAAAATTTATTTTGGCTTTTACCCCTGTTAGGACAATGCTAATTCTCTATGATAAACTAAATAAATGATATGGAAGAAACAGAGACTGAAGAAGGCTACGTAAAGGAGAGATTGATTCCAAATGTCTGAGATGCTTCACTCATTTTAATTTTATACCATACATATTTTAAAATCCATGTATCAGAAGTTGTACTTCTAATTGTATTCAGCTAGCTAGCCAATTCAGAAAAGGGCTACCTGCCTCTGCTGGAAGTCAAGGGGTCCAGTTGACCTGCTCAGCAGTAAAAGGGAGAGATACAAACCTCGTAAGTCCACAGGTGCTAGAAAGAATAGCTGCAATTGATGTTCAACCCTGAAACATGACTTTATCTCCTTATTAGGCAGTAACGTTCTTACAAGAATATCACTGACTTTATTTAGTATTATAGATGAACGAAGCAAGACAGACAGCTAAGTGGGCCAATTACAACATTAAGTTATAATCTTTTAAACTAAGATGACATGCTTTATTAAAATCACCTTCTTCCCACTACCTAACTGTATGCTCATCCTGACTCCTTCATCCCTAAAATGCTAATCCTTGAAATATATTTGATGTCTACAACCAGATAAAAATGAAACATAACTTAATGTTAATGACAAAGAATAATTAACATACAATTATTCTTGGTTTTTAAGAAAGTTATGCTTTATTAATGGTTTTGAAAATTTTTTATCTGGACAACTCTTTCTTCATTTAAAACTTTATTAAACAGTTCAAAAGTTTATTCTACAAAATAGCTAAAGTAGAATTACTTTGGATAAAGTGGGCAGTGGACATCTAGAGTACCACCTGCTCTGAAGATCTTTCTTGGCAGCCCAATGCAGTTATGAAACCATTACTGCATAAGATTACAAGCACAATATAAATGTGTGCGACAGTCACTGAAAATGAGATCTACTTGAAGTGTGAAAAAATGTGAGATTTAAGCTAGAAAAAAATAACACCCATTATTATTGAATGAGGAACATGAACAAGTCAATGTAATTACAAGAGAAGCATAAAAGACAGTGCATTTCCCAAGACGGCAACTGCTTTTTCTTATTATAAACCCCCAGATGATAAAGAAATGTGATGTTTCAGTTCAACATGTTTATTCTAATGCCAACATATCTTAAATATATGTTATTATTAAGTGATAAACAGTTAGTAGTTCAAGAAATAATTTTTAACCTAACCAGCATAGTTCAAGTTTTCTAAGATAATATATCCTGCTTCTTAACAATCTGTAGTTTTTAGGATCACTCTTAAAAGTCTAGGTTTCTTCCATTTCCTTTAGTTATTAGGAGGAAAACCAAAAATTCCTTCCAACTCTAAAACTTCTGTCAAAAGGAAGCTGCCTCTTGCTACTGTAGAATAGAAGCACATTAATAGTTAACAAAGCTACAGTGTGCTCTACAGATCGGGGCTTGCATTTAAAAACTACTTAGACTGTATTTACAAAAGAATCTCTACCATTAATTATTCAACATTTGGATTTGACCAGAAACCAGAGCATGACTCTATAATGCTCTGTTTAAATGAACTACTTAATGTAATAAACACTCAATACAGTGAGCTCAAGGAATTTCTGACCTGCTATAAACTAGGATTTTTCAAATTTTTGATCATTGGACAGATTTTAATGCTAAATCAGTTTGAATTTCACTTATTCTTCAAAAGTGTTTACTTACACCCCAAATTTGGCATCTCAATTATTTTATGTTCTAAAACTGGATGTAGTTTAAACCAATGCATTATTCATAAGGCAAAGACATCAGGAAAAACAAAGCTGTGCACTTCTTTCAAAGCCGGTAGATTGCTAAAACATACCATATTTATGCATGCAATAGTTGATTGTGTTTTTCTTAAAACACAAGCTTGTTTTTGTCAGATCAAGATATGCCAAAAATTCCACACCAAACAATTTTTGTTTATAATTAAAGCAATCATCAATCCAAAGATTGTCATCCATTTTATTTCATCTCTACATCAAAAAAAAAGTAATTTAAAAAAATTTTAAATTCCCTTGAAATGATAAGATGAATGAAAATGTAAGTGCCTTCATATAATAACAGTAAGCTGACCCTTTGGGAAATGGTTGACTTTCTCAATACAAGGTATTCAAAGCTCATTCAAAAGTGTTCATTTAGAATGCAGATATCAAAGATGAGGCAAATGTTCAAGAGAAAATTAGAACTTACCAGATGTTCTAATCCAGCTTTGATGTTTCCAGATTCCCTAAAATAGAAGAATAAAAGTTCTAAATAGTTGTTAAACCCTTGTCTGCTCTAATTTATATTTACCTCAAAAATGCTTTACAAACCCTTATAATTTTTCCATCTATCTTTAGTAATGTTTATGACATTATTCAAAATACTGCTTTTAAGGACAATAGAAATTTTCATCAAAAGTGAACAGACTTTATTTATATCAACTATAAATATAATAATATTATCTCTAAAACAGGTATTTCACTAACCAAAAATGCTTTAGATTTTTCTAAGTCAATGGAGAACAAGAAGAAGTAAATTATTAACACTATTTTGCTCCTGATACAATACCTGTTTATTTCACATCAGCTTTTTCACTTTTCATTATGTTTATTCTCAACATTTATTACGAAAATGTTGAAACTCACAGATTCTACAGTTCACATTTTATTGTATTTGCTTTATCAAATACCTATCCATCGATGGATGCATTTTTATATAAAGATTATGCACATAAAGAATACACATGTGAATACATAGCCAAATAACTAAATCTTAACAATGTTTTTTCCCTGACATCAGTTTTATTAATTTAGTTCATAGTACAAAGTCAGAATCTAATATTGTTTTTACATTAAAGAAACAAAATATCACTAAAGAAAAAGCAACATAAAATACCACATATTTTAAGTATCAGATTTCTTGCTTTTCACTGTGAAAAAGACTGCTAAGCATACAAGTATCTGTACAAATAGCAAAAATAATTTAAACATACTTTTGGCAAGTATGGCAAGTAACTGAATTTTTTTATCTCACTCTACACTAATTAGTGTCAAATGAACTTTAACTTTTCTCATTCTGATTAAGCAATATTTGAGTTCCATCGTAACTACCAAGCTTCTCTTTTCTAACATGAAATGATAATTCTGTTCTCCTGCAGAAAGTGATTATAAAACCTGCAACAGTGAACGTGAGTGCATTCACGTTCAATCTTCTCCTCATGCCTCTTTGTTTCTCTGAGGAGTCCCAACTTTATTTCTTTTCTATTTGTCTCCTGTTTTTTCTTTGCCAAAAACATACTTATCTCTATTTCCTTTATCTTGCTATGCTACCTTCCTAAATTTTTGTTGTTCTTACTCCTTTCAGATTTGCTGTTTGAAAACTGTAGTCGTGGCTTCCAACCTCTGCTCTCACTGCCCAGTCTGAGAGATTCGGGCTCAGTCCCCACCGTCAGCTGATGACCACTCATCCTTCGCCATCCTCTCCTTTACTTCCTCCTCTGACAATCTCAGCAAACTATATATTTGATGTTTAGAAATGTAAGGGTTTCTGAGCTCATTCTCTAACCTCTAATGTCATCGCAGTCCTAATGACAAATGACAAGAATAAATTACTACATGGGAGAGAAGGGTACTACTTGTATAAATGATTATTTTTAACTTTAGTATTACAGTATTATTGGAGCTGGAAGTTAAATGAATGTTTAATTTTCTACAAGGACATTCTCACATAGTTATCTGTGTAATTTAAAATTTAAACAATGAAAGGAATAACAGAGATAGTGAAACATCCATGTGTGTGTCCACACGCCGAAATTAAGCCTTCCTCCTATGGCAGACTCCCAGTTGTCAGTCACCGATGTG